CCAAAAGACCCAAAAAAAAAAAAAAAAATTGGGCAGCCTAGGCCTTGGGCCGAAATACCTAAAAAAAAAAAAAAATAATTCGGGCCATTTCGGGCTATTTTCAGGCCAGGCTATTCGGGCTTTTCGGGCCGGGCTTGGGCCGCCTGCGGGCTTGAAATTACGGCCCAGCCCGGCCCTACACTAGGGCCGGGCCGGGCTCGGGCTTGTACGGATTAGGGCCGGGCCGGGCCGGGCCCCGGGTCCACAGTGACGAGCTTCGGGCCGCCCCGTCTGGCCCGACCCAAATTTTCAGCACTACCTGAAGTGTGCTAATAGACTAGTCTATAACAATATATAGAAATGTCAATGGGCCTCATTATCTTTAACCAAAATGTCATAGTTTTCTTTGAAAATCATCCGTTGCGAACAGTGTTTTCACTGTTCACTTTTTATTTAGAGAAATAGTAAGAAATAAGCTAATATAAAAAGCTTAAGAAAGTATATAGGCAAACTTTTAGTTATAGAAATTAATAGGCCATAATTTGTCAAGTTATGGTTCATAACCAGATAAGTTATGGATAAACTTGTCAAGTTATGGTTCATAACCAGATAAGTTATGGACAAAAACCGGGAATAACTTGTCAAGTTATGGTTCATAACCATACAAATTATGGACGAAAACAGTAATTTGGCCTATTTATTAACTTATGTAAACTATTAGCCTATTAATTTTAATTCATCTCAAGTCTTAACCTATTTTTCTCTTTCTCTCTTTTATTTATTTATTTTTTGCTTTTGAAGTTTTTCTGTTTTGTTCTTTTTCATCTTGAGAAATTCATTTACTGTTCACGTATTTTTTGATAAAAAACGCGTGAACAGTAACAATGTCGCTATAATTTTTTTTTTGCTCGCTAAGATCTCTCTCTTTCATTTTCAATATATAGAAATGTCAATGGGCATCACTATTTTCTACCAAAACGACATAGTTTTGGTTGAAAATCACCCTTTATGAACAATGTTTTCATTGTTCACTTTTTTTTTGTGTTGATGTTTTTCCATTTTTTTCTCTTTTCATTTTGAGAAAAGTGTTTTTTAATGTTCTCATACTTCTCGGTCGAAAATGCGTGAACAGTAACAATGTCACACAGTTTTTTTTTATTGCTCTCTAAGAGTTTTTTCTCTTTCATTTTAATCCTTTTTTTTTGGTTATTTGCTCTAAAACTTAATCTTTTTAATTTTAATTTATTTTTGGGCTATTACATGCTTTTAGTAATAGCACGATAATTAAAATTTAATATACGATTACTTTCGATGTGCATAGCACGTGTTCTTCAACTAGTATACAATATATATGTATATATTATAAATATATATTGCTACTCTTTTAATTCATCATGGGAATATTTTTTTGAACTTTAAATTTTTGAAATTTGAATCTAAAATCCACAGTTCCCTCATACCATGATATTAAATTTAGTTCCAAAATATTATGCACATGTTTGATGTTACACCAATTGTTGGAGCAAAATTTCATCCAACATTTTATTAACGTTCATAGACTAGAAATTTGGATTAAATAAATAAGTAATATGAAGAAATTAGATGAATACTCTTAGAATACAAATAATTTCTAAAAAGTAACAAGGACAAAGTGAAGACAATCACGAGACAATTCTATTAAAAAATTAGTGCGTATCTTTTCCTCTCAAATTGAGATAATTTATAGTACATTAGGATTAAGAGAGTTTAATTCTTCTATTAATTTAAGAGTTTATTATCTCTTTAATTACAACAAGGACCTACACCTTTTTGTGAGTTAAAATTAATGAAATAATCAATAATAATTAACTTTGTCGGTTACTTCACTTCATGACATCAATTGACCTAATAATTTTTTTAAATGTGTTCCTACTTAATTTTTTCGTCAATTGTTATCTTTACACATAAGTTTTTTAAAATAAATTTAAAAATTCTTAAATGGTTGTGTAAATAAATTTCTCATTATTTGGTAAATAATAAACTTTTTAAGTATTTCTAACACAGTAATAATAAGTGCGGAGCATGTTACAAAACTAGTAAGTTAAAAAATGGGGAGGCAAATATATATGTAACGTTTAGTTCATGGATTCAGAACCATGTTTTATGATTCTAATATTTGAAATTTAAATTTTTTGTGAGAGAAAATACTGTAGCAAATTAAAAATCATGATCTTAAATGAGATTAGAACTCTCGAAAGAAATGAAGCAATAGACTTTTCTTAAGGTCCCGTTCATTTTACTGATTCGAGTTTATAATTCGAGTTTTATTACAGTAAAAAGCTCTCAGAAGTAGTTACATTTAACTTTTTTATTACAGTAAAAAGCTCTCACATAAAATGACATCTCAATTCGAATTAAAAATTCGATCCAGCGAACTAAACGGACCCTAAGGGCGCATTTGGAACTCGTTTCAAAATGATTTTATTTTTTGTATGAAAATGAAAATGAAAACGTTTTCAATCTCAGACATAAATCATTTTTAAAAATGCGTTTAGTAGTTTTATTAAGAGATTATTTTCAGTGTAAAAAAACCCATTAACGTCTTTCTTTCTCTCTCTGCTCGAGAGAGGAGAAAACGAAAATAAAAAATGAAAAACGACTAAAAGTCATTTTTCATTTCTCTCTAATTTTATACTAAACTAAAAAATCGTTTCCATTTCTATTTTTTGTCTTTATTACTCCAAACACTGTTTTTAAAAACGTTTTCATTTTTTATTTCTCAAAAAACGTGAAAAATAAAAATAGAATCAATTTCAAACATGACCTAAATTTTGGGGCGAAATGGTAAATTCAACGAAGAAGACGGAGGAAAAAAAAAAAAAAGGAATCCCCCTTCTTATTACAATCGTTAAAACAGAACGTCACTGAAAATCAATACCCTAAGTCGGACAATCTTTACACTTTCACATCCCCCGGCAGCTCCAACCGCGGAACAGAAAGCAGCCTCCTCTGTTGAAAGGATGCCGGCGAAGGATACCTGCTTTGACAAGGAGAAGAGCTTGGAGCTCTTCCTCCGCATTGGATTGGACGATCGAACTGCCAAGAACACCGTCGCCAACAACAAGGTCACCACCAATCTCACTGCTGTCATCCACGAGGTCTGTTTTTTTCCCTCTTCTTTCCTCTGTTTGGTTGGCAAGAAAATGGAGGAATCACGATAAGAAATTAAAGAAATGAATGTCCTGTTTTGGAGTCAAATATTTTTTTTTTCTCTGTTATGTTTTTTTTTTTTTTTTTTTTAAGAGTATCCAATACAATGTGCTTGCATGTATGTGCATATGCTTTTCTTTGCTTCCAAATCAAGGAGTTTATTAAAATTCATTCATTCAATTTTTTTTATTGGGTAGTGAAAAGAAATGAAAGAAATGAAAGTCCTATTTCGGAGTTAAAATTCTATCTCCCTAGGTTTATTTTTCTTTTTTATTTTTTTATTTTTTTATTTTTTTGCTTGCAAATTAAGGAGTTTACTAAAATTCGTTGTTTCTTTTTGGGGCTATCTTATCAGGCTGGTGTAACTGATGGATGCAGCCGGGCTGTTGGAAATCTCCTATACACAGTAATACAATATCCTTAATTATTCCAATATCTATTTTTTTTTGTTTTGAAATAATATGTGTTTTGCCTTAAATTAATTTTTGTTATGACTCAATTTCATCGTTAAAAGGAATAAAATTGGTTCCCTATTTCTGACAGGTTGCCACAAAGTACCCAACAAATTCCCTTGTGCATCGCCCAACCTTAGTAGAGTACGTAGTTTCATCAAAGGTTTGGCCCACAAACTCTTAAAAGTATGGTTAGTTTTGTGGTATTCAGATGTGAGGACGTTTCTGACACATTTTGTTATGACCAGATTAAAACCCCAGCTCAGTTAGAAGCGGCATTTTCATTTTTTGCCACCTTGGGGCCGGAGAATTTTAAGTTAAATGAATTTGAAGAAGCTTGTGGTGTTGGTATGTTTAATCGAGTCATTTTTCTTGCTTGAAGTTTGTAGACTAGAATGTTTGTTGCTTAAGGACGCGATAACATTGCACATTAATGTACCCAATGTCTCACTTGACAATTATTTGGTCATGCTTATAGTTAACGCCACTCAGTTTGCATTGATTTCTTTTCTTTTCTTTTCCTTTTTTTTTCTTTCTTGGAGTTCTTCGTTAGCCGAATGACCTATTGACATTGCAACTTGCAAGCAGGTGTTGAGGTTTCAGTGGAAGAAATTGGAAATACTGTCAATGATGTTTTTGAAGAGAATAAGAATGCCATTTTGGAGGAACGTTACCGAACAAATGGTATGTCCTTCTCCCTCCCCCTATCCCCTCTAATCTTCGAAAGTGATAGCAGTAACTATAAAAGTATATAATTTGTGAACTTACAGTGTTCTATTAGCTCTGCTAATGGTTTCCTGCTTGAGAGTGCACACATTTTCATAATTTGCTTTTGTCATCTTATGATTTTCAAAGGAATGTATTCAATATTCCGTTCCGAAATTGAAGAGTTTTTATTTTTTCAAGTCTTCTAACACTACTGAAAATTGGCATTCTGGTACTGCTTCTAGTGGGTGATTTGTTTGCACATGTTCGGAAGAGGCAACCATGGGCTGATCCAAAAATTGTCAAGGTGAATGTTAATAGACTTCTTTGTTTTAATATCATATAAGTTAGTTGTCTTTGATTGTAAACGTGTCTTTTGTCTTTTCCATCTTTACAGCAACTTATTGACTCGAAACTGTATGAATTGCTTGGGGAAAGAACTGCAGCGGATAATGAAAAGGTTCCCAAAAAGAAGAAAGAGAAGCCTGCTAAAGTTGAGGTTAGCTAATTCACGATTTTTCGTCTTATTTTGTTTCACACCATCTCATAACTCCGTCTCTCGTTCGAATCACGTAGGATAAAAGCGCTATTGTTTCTGCTCCAGAACATCCATCTGAAGAAGATATTAATCCATTTTCCATATTCCCCCAGCCTGAGGAAAATTTAAAGGTAATGACTGCCCTTTTTATGATCTTTTTTCTATTTGTTCAACTTTTCTCTAGTCATACAACAATCTTAAAGTAGAGAAATTTCAATTTAATCCGTTCTTCGTCAACAAGTTTCTGAAGGTAGTTATTTATCTTTTGCAACCAAGGTTGTCACTGAAACTTTTGGTAACGTGAAATCAGATTGGACTTAAACTGTATCACACACGACTGAATCAGTTTTGTCAAGTCTTTTTGGGAGAACATAAAATCAACAGAAAATATGGCTTCTCACCAATAGAAAAAGTAAGAATAAAGTAAAAAGTATTAGATTATAAGCGAGATGTATATCTGCCAGAAAGTCACCACAGAACCTACAATTTTGTATTTTGTATTTTTATTTTTTTTGAAAAGAAATGAGACTATTATTCTTCTGAAAAAGGAACACTAGAAAGCAGGAGAGTTTTCCTCTGACAGACTAGGTTCAAAAATACAAATAAAAGTTGAGTACTGAAACAAAAAGATGACCAAGCTACAAAAACGGAGACCAATCCCTGACCAAATCTGAAAGTGATAGCCGACCACTCCTAATCCCCATATACCCACAAGGAGACCCAATACTTAATTTTATCCCATAAAACGCATGCCTCCTCCTTATGGTCCTCAAAAACTCTACTATTTCTTTCTAGCCAAATACCCCATCAAAAAGCTAACGATGCGACCCTCCATAAAATTACTCCCCCTGTGACTTAGGCCCGATGGTGGAGAGAATTTGAGAAAGCTCAGCACAACTCCCGGGCAGCACCCACAAAAACCTAACTCATTTAGGAGAAATGACCAAATATGGAAAGAATAAGGGCAGTGAAGAAATATATGATCTGGTGTCTTGCCGCTATTCTTACATAAAGCACACCAATTCGGAGAGATATTGAGAAAAGGACTTCTGCAATGCAACAAATCATGAGTGTTTAATTTGTTAAGATCAAGATGCCACCCAAAAACTCTGACCTTGACTGGAACACAGGTTTTCCAGATATGGGTGTAATAAACAAAGCTTGGAGCTGAATCCACAGAGGTCAAAGAAGAAAAGAATGATTTAACAGTAAACAGACCATTAGATTTTAGTATCCAATCCCTTTTGTCTTGGACCACACCATTAAGTCTAACCCTTTCCACAGTCACAATGAGCTCGGAAACCTCCCTTAACTCCCTATCCGTCAGATTTCGAGAAAACTGAAGATCCCACGAAACAAAGCCACCACCTTGGAGATCAAAAGCCGAAAGAAAACTTGCAATAGGCTGATCGTGAATGGATGAAATCCTGTATAGAGCAGGAAATTTGGAACTCAATGGCCTCTCTTCGTACCAAACATCCTCCCAAAATCTAATTATATCCCCAGATCCTATCTTCCATTTGACTTTCCTGAAAAAGCCTCTGTGATTGATAGAACAGATTTCCAAGGGGCAACGAAAAGTAACTCGTGAGGCAACCCTTGAGTCCCAATTGCTCTGAATCAACCGGTACTTCCTTGCGATTATGCCAAAGAGAATCTTGTTCCAACGAAAATCACTATAACCACTTAGCTAACAATGCCTCATTTCTCTTCTTGACGTTACCAATGCCCAAACCCCGAGTTCCTTAGGTTTGCAAACATGATCCCATGCCACTAAATGTGTAGCATTATCCTCTGAGTATCCAGCCAAAAAAAAAAAAAATCTTGTATTAACTTCTCGATTTCCTCCGCAACACTTGCAGGAATTCTAAAAACCGACATATCGTATTATGGCAGAGATGTTAGAATCAACTGAATGAGAGTTAGCCAACCACCTCTCGAAAGGAAAGCTTTCTTCCACCTGTCCAACCTCTTTGCCACTCTAGTCAGCACCAGTTCCCAAAATGCTGATGAAGATTTGCTCCAAGGGGAAGGAAGGCCCAAATATTTTATAGGCCAAGAACCTATAGAGCACCCAACGACTCTAGCCAAAGTGGACAGCTTGACTTACTCCAAATTAATTCTAAAAATGACGCTTTTCTCCAAATTAACTTTTAGCCCCGATATCAGACAAAAGATAACCAAAATAGTTGATAAGTTTGAAAACTTTCTCTTCCGGAGAGCTGAAAAACAAATAATCATCAGCAAATTGTAGTTGACTAATTTTGAAGTTTGTTCTCCCCACACTTAATGGCTTGATTAGGGAAACTTCCATAGCCCTGGTAATTAATCTGCTTAAAACATTTACTACAATTGTGAACAGATAGAGGGATAAAGGGTCTCCTTTCTTGAGCCCTCTAGAAGCTGTGAACTTGCCCTTAGGTCTGCCGTTTATCATTACAGAGTACGACATTGAATTAAGGCAACCCGGAATCCACCTTCTCCATTTGACTCTGAACCCTTTTTTCTCTAACACGAAGTGTAAGAAATTCCACTATACATGGTCATAAGCCTTCTCAAAATCAATCTTTACCACAACCCCCTCTTTCCCCGATGAGCTGTAATCTCCAATCACCTCATTAACCACCAAAACGAGATCCAAAAGCTGCTTGCCTGCAACAAAAGCCCCTTGGACTTCTGAAATTGTCTCCTCAAGAACGCCCTTTAGTCTATTTCACAAAACCTTCGGAATGATCTCAAATAAGCTTAATACCAAGCTCATGGGCCTGAAATCCTTTATTCTACTCGAATTGGCCTTTTTCAGAATAAGAGAAATGTATCTTTCATTGGTTATATTATTGATGATACCTGATCTCCAAAATTCATCTAGGGCCTTAAAAACATCACTTTTAACAAACTCCCAGCATTTCAAAAGAGAGAGTGAAACCGTCTGGTCCAAGAGCCTTGTTTCCATCGTAGTTGAAAACTGCGCGTTTGATTTCACTTTCTTCAAATGGTTTTTCTAGCTCTGCACTCATAACTGAAATAGGGCTCCAGTTTAAACCTTCAACTCCACTAAACTCACCTCCCGAAGATTTATAGACTCATAGAATCCCACAACCATCTTAATAATTTCCGCCTCATCGTCCACTATAGCCCCTTCTGCATTTTCCAGCTTAGAAATTGTGTTTCTTGTTTTCCTTGCATTTAATAGCCGATGAAAGAGCTTGGTGTTCGCATCTCCCTCCCTAGCCTAAGTGGCCTTGCATCTCAATTTCAACGCTCTGTCCTTCGACTCAATCATGCGAAGATAGCGTTGTTTAAGCTATTGTCTCTCCTCTACAAAACCCGCCAACCAATCTAGGCCCCCTTCCTTTCGATCAATCTTTCGGATCCTCTTTAGAATCTTTCCCTTCTCCACCTTAGACGCCTTAGCCTCCTCCACACTCCAATTTTTCACTTTTCTTTTAAGCAGTTTCAACTTCCTCATTAATTTGTATCCGTCGCACCCGCTGACCTCCTCTTCCTCCACCAAATCTTCAATTTTCTAACAAAATCTTTATTCTCTAGCCAGGCATTATCAAACCTAAACGGAGAAGGCCCCCATTTGGGGGGATTTGTATGCAAAATAATGGGGCAGTGATCCGAAATTGCTCTAACAAATGCTTCTTGCCGCCCAAACGGGAATAACTTTGATCAAACTTCTGAGAGTAGAAAACGATCCAATATGCAACAAACGGGATTTTCCTTGAAATTTGACCAAGTGAACTTTGCATTATGTAGGGGCGGGCGGGACATTTTTCAGTATGTTTGTCAAAGATTCTCATGCGTCTAGTGACTCGGTCGCTACCGCACTTCTCCGAAAGAAATCTCATAACGTTGAAATCGCCGCCAACACACCATCTTTGCCCACACAAACTCCAAAGACCAGTCAATTCATCCCAAAGCTGACTTCTTCTATTGTAATGATTTGGGCCGTAGACTCCCGATAGCCGCCAAAAATCTCCTTCTTCGACCTTAATTGTAACGGAGAAATCCCCCAACAAACTCTCCACCACTTTAATCCCACTACTAAAATTCCCCCCGAATGACCCACTGTTGGTAATAGAACCCATTCTTTAAATCTAGACTGCCAAATACTTCTTACGAACCTTCTATCTACCTGTTGCCTCTTGACCTTTTGAATAATCAGAACATTGGGGTTCTCCATGCAAACCACCTCCCTAACTCCTCTTCTTTTTAAAAAAGAGATCCCTCTTCTAATATTCCATGACATCAGTTGCATCTATGACCATCAACAACCCCGTTAACATTCCTATCATACTAGACGTTGAACTCTAAGTTTTTCAACTCCCTCTCGGCCCCTGCTCCGGACAGATTTGGTTGTGCCTTCGACTGATTCTTATGGACCCTTTGGTGTTGATATTTGGAGTTGCATAGTCTCAATAACATCCTTAATTTAATCCATTTAACTTTCCCCCAATTTTCACTGTGCTACTCCTGTTTGCCAATGATGATTGCCGATTATCATTCTTGGAGCCTATCCTTTCCTTTGCCGAAATTGAAGCCTCTGCTTCTTTACTTTCCAGGACTGCTCCTGCCCTTATATCATCCGAAATATTCTCCAATTCTGGTGGAACCAGCAAGGTTAATGGAGAGAAATCTAGCACTCGTTGCTCAGATATATCTAGAGGATTGGGACTTACCCGCTCATCATCAGCCGCTGCGATGAGAAACTGAACCTCCTCCAGCCCGACAAAATCTTCTTGCTCCCCCACATTAGCTTCTGAACAGAAAGAAGAAACTGATCGAGAGCTATTTTCATCCTCATCCAAACCTCCGTGCCACTTAACGTCAAAGTCCCCCACTCTGAATCTGCAACAAATTCTCCCTCTGAATCAACGCCAGGCAAATTTGGATTGACGTCGGTGTCCTCCATATTCTGACCTTTTAGACCTTTCTTGAAAGGCCTAGATTGTTGATAAAAAAGGGGATAAGGTTTTATTCGTCGCTTTTCTAACTCGCGTCGCAGAGGAGTGCAAAACCGGATTTCTGGGTTTCTTCCTCAGAAAATTGTCCTCCCACTTCTTTATTTTGGCCCTAATAAAATCACCCTTCCTTTTGTGCCTCCACCTGAGGCCCATTTGAGCTTTCTACTAACATTAACTAGTCCTTACAAAAGCCCAATTCTAGACAATCAAAGCTTTTGATCCGTTGAACTGGGCCCACCTATTTTCAGCCCAAGCTCAGAATGGGCTTGATTGCATGTAATAGATTCACCCCTCGTGTCCTAATTGGAATCTTCTAGAACCCCGAATTTATTGGATAAGGAAATAGATGGTGCGTTTGGAATTGGTTCTAAAATGATTTTGTTTTCTGCATGAAAATAGAAATGAAAACGTTTTTATTTTCATTTTGGAATTATTTTTGAAATGCGTTTGGTAGTTTTATTCAGAGATTGATTTTAGTTTTAAAAAAAACTGAAACTGCGTTTGATAGTTTAATTTTTGAAAACATGTAATAATATATTAAATAAATAATATTATTAAATATATTAAATAAACATCATTATATATACATAACGGGAAGAATCCGGGGGGGGCGCCTTCGTCTGCGGCATGGGGCCGTCGGCCCCGGAGACGACGAGAAACGACGCTTCATCTCCTTCAGCCGGTGTTGAGGGCGGTGTTCACGTGGGCGTAGTGACGGCGGCGCGCGTCCGACGACTAACGATAGCCATCGAGCGAGGGAATCTCCGGCGACGTCTCTCTCTGTCGTCCTTCATCTCCGGCGTCCTTCATCTCCTTCAATCGGTGTTGATGTCGGAGTGGGGGAGGGGGTGCTGTCGGGGGTGGTGGGCAGTGGAGAAGAGAGAGAAGGAAAAAAAAAATGAAAACCGTTTTCAGAAGAAGAAAACGAAAATGAGAAAACGGCTTTTTTTCATTTTCAGTTTTTCACAAAAAGACAAACGTTTTTGTTTTTGTTTTTTGAAAAGTTTTGTGCCAAACGCGTTTTTAGATTGTGTTTTCATTTTTTAGCTTCGAAAAACGTGAAAAATGAAAACGAAAACAAAAACAAACAGGCCCAGAGAAACCCCTTTTTTTAGGCGGCAACCGAATATAATTTGCTCCTAAATCTAGGGGCGTCTCTTCAACTATCGAGTCTAACTTCCCTTCCATGTGAGACGAATCACCCTGAGGGCATGTCGCGTTCCCCCTTAACCGCTTTCCACGTGTTACCCAAGACATGAAGGAAGACAACGATTTTGCCCACCGACTTCTCACCTTGACTCCTGCGTTCCTTGCTTGCGCTGGTGGCCTTAAGGATCGAAATCTCGCTCTTGTCTCCATCGAAAGCAGCCTCCTCACCAAAAGTATTGCCAGTATCGCCGCGTTTCAAGAATTTAATCCCAGATACTTTGTTGATTTAGTCCTCCTTTCCTGCATTTGCATCTCCAGCCATCTCAATACTTCTCCAAATAAGACCCCCAGTTCTACCATTGGGCGATGTGCTACAATGCTGATTGTTTTCCATATTGAATAATCCAAGATGAATCCTCTCTCCTTGACATGGAACTTCCATAATCGGTGACGTGAAGCCATCTTTTAAACCCCTCACCTTTATCTTGGCAAATAACATAAAAGATTGATCTAATGTATCCTCTGCAATTTTGACGAGACCGCCGCAGCTATCTCCTATGATTTTGAAAACATGGTAGTTCCATAGATTTAGCGGCAGCCCTTCAATTCCAATCTAGCTATTTCTTGCCTCGATCTGAGAAAATCCCAATGAGAATACAACGACTAGAGCTCCATGTTTGTGATGAGGAACTTTCTGTAAAATAGAGCCTTTTCTGATAGTAACGAAATTCTCTCCGCTTCGTCCCTACACCAAGTAACTGCCCTGTTTGCTGCCAAAGGCACCAACTCAGTTGACCTTGACAGTTTCCTCTTTAGTTCATCTTTGATAGCCTCCCACGTCCAGTCCACACTATTCCTGCTAACTACTGCCAATCTCCATCACTTTACAACATCACTATCCTCCTTTTCTGATACAAATGTTGTATATGGTTATCCTTATCATGATTCCGAGTGAGTACCTTGCCTCTGTTCGTGGCTGACAGGTTGGCGGCCCTCTGCAGCCACTTCTGTAATTAACTCTTTGAGCAAGACTGAATCTTTGGTGGCCCTCTGCATTAACTACCTTGCCTCTGTTCATGGCTGCTTCCTTGAAGGTCTCCTCTTTCATAGCCCCTCTATCAAAGACGAGGCTCTAGAATCCCTTCTCAGAATAACATCAAGCTTAGCCTTCATCGTCCCCCATCCAGACTTGAAACTATCTCCCGGAAGGAATAAGTTTCTGACCACGCCATTATGCACCTTCATAATCTTTAAGAACTCCCCTCGAATATTAACTAAAATCTCCACCAATATGGTCATTGAGGAGTTAGTGAACTTGCGCTTAAACCTCTGTCCTGCTTCAAATTGCCAGATGATCTCCAATGTGTCACTCAACCAAAAAGCAGCATCACTAACATGTGAGAAAAAAACCTACAATTCTTCTTGACCTCCTCGAAATTGATGGCCCTGGCCTAAAGAGATAGTAAATAACTTTGAGTTAATTCTAAACTGATGTTTAAACCCAGTGAAGAAAACCGGATTCATGATGAAAAATCTAGAAAGCTCAAAGTTTGACGTTTAGAATTCTAGAGAGAAGGGAGAGCATCTCTCTCTAAACTACATCGCACAAAACCCATCATGTATTCAATCAAGCCATTTTGATAACAGAACTTTTGCTTGCATCATATAAAGTAGTTTAAATTTTAAGATGTAATGCTACTGGTAGCGTTCTAGTTGACTTGATGTGGGAACTTGGGCTTTCCTTAAGCTATTCACACACACACACACATACAGATATATATATATATATATATATATTGCTTTGAGTTGATGTTTTGACAAAGGAGGAACTAATTGTTCTCTTATTAAATGAAGGCTGAGGGCTTCACCGAATTGGAAACAATACAAAATATTTGTTTGAATTCTTGTTTGGAGAAATGTGAGAAACAAATAATGCGGCTTTGTTATATACCCAAAAAGAAAAAAAAGATATATAATATATATAATGATAATAAAAATCTGAAAAGTTTGCAAGAATGGTTCTTATAAAAGCTATTTTCCCTTGAGCATGCTTCTTTGATAAGCTCCAGTACGTTAAGTAGTTAGAGTGAATCTCAAGCTTTTCATTTCACATCGTCAGTTGGTGCTTTATATATGTTAAATTCCTATTTAATCTAGTTCTTGTTAATTTCAGGTTCACACTGAAGTTTTCTTTAGTGACGGGTCTATCCTAAGATGTTGCAATACAAAGGAACTGCTTGAGAAACACTTGAAAGTAACAGGAGGGAAAGTTTTAACTCGCTTTCCTCCTGAACCAAACGGTTATCTACATATAGGTCATGCCAAGGTTTGTTTTAAGCCTTGTCTTTTATATTGGCATTCTACTGCTTTGATATTGGTCTTCATCTTGTAACTGTCCTTGTTTATCAGGCAATGTTTGTTGACTTTGGCCTGGCTAAAGATAGAGGTGGACAATGCTACTTAAGGTGAGAATTACTTGTTTGAGCTTTATTAATATATTTAATTAACTTTTGTATACAATGAAAAATGAAAGAAGGAAAACAAGAAACATCTGAAGGATCATAATGCACTGCAGTGATAATACCACTTTGTATGGGGCTTACAATTTCTAATATCAGAGTGCTGAAAGTATGTTGATCATAAAAGGAAAAAGAAAAGTGCTGCAAGTATATATAGGCCTATTTGGTAATGTTTTCGAAATGATTTTGTTTTCAGTACAAAAATGAAAATGAGATTGTTTTGAAAATCATTCTGAGACCGATACTAGAGACCGATACTGAAATTGCATTTGGTTGATCTTTTAAGAGATTGTTTTGAGTATAATAAAAAAGTAAAATAGTGTTTGGTTATATTTATGAAATTTTGTTTTGAGTACATGTAATTAATAATGTTAAATTAATATATGAAGTAATTAATAATTGATAATCACCTAACAAATAAAAATTAATATATTAAAAATACAATAATAATGGATATATTATAATTAATGGGTATATTGATAATTAAACTATATATATAATGCTTTAGTATGCTAAATAATTAAAAAATAGTAATTAATAATTAGTTATAAGTAATTACTATGTTAGCAACGTATTCATATTTATTAGTTGATAAGTAATTAATGTGTATTAAGAAAAAATAATTAGTATATAAATAATATATTTATATTCTATTTACTATTTAAATAATTAACTTTTAGTTACATAAATAATAGGTAATTAGTTACTAATATTTATTTAATAATCTATTATTTGATCTATTGCATGATCAATTTTTGATAATTACTTTAAATAATGATGAATTGCTAATTATCAATTATTAATTACTATTGATTAGTATATTACAATTTATTGTATAATTTAATATTGATTATTAATTGAGTAATTACTTTGTTTTTTATTTATCAATTATTTACTAATTAATAGATTATAATTAATATATATGATTGATATATTAATTATTAGTTATTTATCTAATAACTTATTATTAAGTATTCTATTATTTATATATTATATAATCAATTTTTGGCAATTAATCTTTAACGAAATAATTAATTAATATTTATTATTTATCATTTTTATTAATAAATAACAAATTTAATAATAATTTAATAATAATTAATAATTAAGTAATTACTATCTATTTATTAGTTGGTCATATCTATTTATTAATTATTAATTAATATATTATATAATTAGTAATTAATAATTAAATAATTCAATGTAACATCGTTGGTAAGTACTAGAAAATGAAAATGGAAAAGGAAAAACAACTTTTAATCGTTTTCTAACTTTACAAAAACTATTTTCATTGTTTTTTGTTTTCGTTTTTGTTTTCAAAACATTTGCTAAACAAATGCAGTTTTTAGATCGTTTTCATTTTCGTGCCTTAAAAGACGTGCGAAAACGTTTTTAAAAACAACCAAAAAACAATTTCAAACGCACCCATGGAGTTTTCTTGATAACATTCGTTTACATTGAGGGATGTTATTCGGAGAAGATAATGGTCTTCTGTCTCAATGTTCATTATTATTTCTGTTTAGTCTTTGTTCTTGTTCTTTTGCTTTTTTGCTTTTTAGTTGTTTGTAGAGGAATTGTCATCCTCTTTTCTTTGTAATTTATTTTCTTATCAATGAAAAGAGGGAATTGTCATCCTCTTTCCTTTGTAATTTATTTTCTTATGAATGAAAGGAGTTTTATTCTTTAAAAAAAAAGATCTAGCATTCGATGATGTATTGTTTGTAATTGCAGTGACAGACTAGCTTATTATATTATATTCTTTGGAAGCAGATAATTTTCTTTTTCCCTTGTAGACGTCTAGCTTTTAATTAATTGTTGAAGTCTATAAGCTTTGATCAATATTTTTTTATCTAGTCTTTATATAGATTGTGCGAGGGTTACCTTTCGATCTCTGTAGAAAGCTATTCAATCTTTATATAGCTTATTACTCGGCCAAGTTAAGGTGAAGGTAGGGGATGGGAGGAGATTGAGATTTTGGGAGGATGTGTGGGTGGGTCTAGAGTCTTTTTCCTGTCAATTTCCGAGTTTGTTTCGTCTTTCTTCCCTTCATAATGAGCCAGTTTCTTCTCTTTATTCGGTGTTAATAATGTAATTTCTTAGAATTTACACCTTAGGAGGAATCCTAGGGAGTTGGGTGAGGTCGTGGAACTTTTAACTCATGAGGTGTTTTAGCGCAGAAATCGTTATCTTACGATCTCGCCCAACTAGTGTTCTTTATGCAAGAATGATGGTGAAACATTTGACCATTAATTTTTACACTGCCCGTTTTCTCATCAGTTGTGGTCTTGTTTGATGAAGGAATTTGGTGTCTTGGTGAACGGCAGTAGATATAGTGAGAAGAAGAGTGGATATTGAATGGACGTTTATTAAGGGGATGATTGAAAGCAGGTTGAACCGGTTTGTCGAGGTGGTTCCCTTGGTAGCAGATAGAGTAGTCACATGGTGTAAAGATGAAGTTGAAAGGAATTTGTTGTTGACAGAGAAAATGATGTTCTGCAGAAAGAATCCAGTGGTGAAGATGGAACCATGGTCGATATTTTCTCACTGGGAGTATGTCCAAATTGAAGCCAAGAATAGCTGGATTGGAATTGAGGGCCTGCCTCTATGTCTTTGGAACGTCCATGCTTTTAAGGTTATATGCGAATCATGTGGAGGTCTAATCGAGGTTGCGAAGGAAACTTTCAAGCAAACATTCCTAATGTTTGGAAAAATTTAAGTCAAAAAGGCTTTAAAAAAGGGCTTCTATGGCCTATAATGGAGGTTCAATGTCAAGGTGAGAGGATTCATTTAGGGCTATTAAATCTAGATAATAACTAGATTCAATCTATTGGTAGAACATGGGGTTTGATTTTCAGAAGCACAGAGGGGCATGCCAAACCCGTGAATCAAAACAAGAAAGATTATGGAATTGGAGAGAACGGGATCAAATTTCTAGAACGAAGCAACCAGTTCAGCAAAAATTAGGAACAAACAGAAACATGGGAGATTTTTTGGTGAACAGGTTCTCAGGTATCAACGATGTGAAAAGCGGTCATGGTGAAGGAGATGAATGGTCGACCGGGAATAGTAATATGGGGTCTTCATCTGCAGGGATTCCACGTTGCAGAGAATTGGCAAGGGAGGTTCCACGTAACCATGCAAACTCGGTACATGTGGATTTTGGTACAATGCTGCATCAATCTCAAGAGAAGAGAGACTTGAGAGTATCCGTAGTTGAAGAGTCGATTCTCAATTATGCAAATAATCAATGCTACCTACCACTTGAAAAAGGGAAAGGGAATTATTTCTGTCCAATAAATTTGGAATTTTGGGATATAAATATTTATTAGAAGTGGAGGAGTCACCTAACAAGGATCGGGCTACCTCAGATATTGGGCCTCTAATTATTAGGCTCAATGATAAGGATCAGCTATTGATTAATCCGAAGGTGGGCCTAGGTAAAGCATCCTCAGAACTAGTTAGGGTGGGTTCAAATAGAGTGGGCAAGCGGTGGAGGCCCAAAACGAAGTCAGATTTCATTAGGGCCAAGATTAAAAAATGGGAGGAGGAAATTCAGATGAGAATTCCCAAAAAATCAGTTATGCATTATTCTAGTGACGGCAATTTAGAGAATCGCAGAACCAAACCTTTCCCTTTCTTCTATTGACGATCCAAAAAAGCTCAGAAGAAGCAAACCGATGATAGAGCAATAGATTTCATCCTAGACGTAGGGCGCACAGATGTTGAAGTAGAAGAAGATTTTATTCCTCACGAAGAAGGTATATCGGGAGATGATAGCAATACGTGATCAGTCTCTTCTGTTTGCTCAACAGAGGAGATTGATGGAAAGCGTGATCGAGAGGGTTTTACGGGTCTTGAAGAAGTGAGACTTCTCTGTTTTTTTTTTGTTGAAAAGAAACATAACTTTATTATAAAAATAGAGAAAATAGAAATGTACTAGTAGAGGAAGAATTTTCCTTACAACGACAAGGCTGAAGCAGAGCCAATGAACAAAGTGGTGATAATATCAACCCCAAAGACACAATAACTCAAAACAATGAGAACAAAATTACAAAAAGGAACCCCAACTCCTAAGCAAGTCAGAGAAAATTGGCCTGCCAAACTTTATCTCAAACCGCACCAGGTACCCTGGAGGGATTAGACGCAGATAACCAAACGACTAATAAGCTGGAGCTATGTTCAAATGCTTCAATTCTGTCTCCTTTAGCGTCAGTGTCACCGGTTGAGATGGAAGAGAAGGAAGGCGGGCCATTGGAAGGAAGCAAATCAGAAGTTGGTAGGATCGAAGGGGAACAAGGATTGGGAAGTGCTGAATCATGTTCGGGAGATGAGAATAGGTTAATTGTAAGATAGGAACAATTTAGTACACTAATTATTGGAGGAAGGAGAGTGGAGTGGAGCCGAGCAAAATTTAGTCAGTAATTCAAAATATGCAGATCCAACTTTTAGTTTCGGAGAAAGTGAATAAAGGCAATGTTGAAGGGACTGCAAAAACTGCCAGAAGAAAAGGTCAACCGGGAATTGAAGAATTTGGAGTTCAATATCTGGTATGACAAGAAGGATAATGGGGATGCTGATAATATTAAATGAAGTTGATGACATGGAATATCAGAGGAGGGAACTCTGCCTTAAAAAGGAGGGGAGAATATTTTGATTCTTTAAGAAATTAAAAGAAAGGAAGTACATATGAGATTTGTTGGTAGTATTTGGCAGTCCCGGTTCAACGAATGAGTATTGCTGCTGACTGTGGGTCGCTCCGGAGGAATTTTGGTAATTTGGGACGTTAGACGAAGTGGTTGAGAGTTTCCTGGGTGTGTTTTTTGTTACTATTAAACTTGAGGAAGAAGGGGAATTTTGGTGGTTCACAGGTGTATACAGCCCCAATCACTACAACAAAAGAGAATTGTTTTGGGATGAGCTAGCAGGAATTTGGAGTTTATGTGGACAAAGATAGTGTGTAGGTGGAGACTTCAATGTTACCCGCTTCTTGACGGAAAAGAGCGGCAGCATCAGAGTCACTAGGAGTATGAAGCTGTTCGATGAGCTTATAAAAGATTTGAGGCTGACAGATCCGCCCATTCACAACGCGAAATTTACACGGTCCAATTTTAGAGATTCTCCCATCTCCTGTAGACTTGACAGATTTTTGCTCTCTGAAGGATGGATGGAGTTCTTTCTTTTTGGGCGCCAAGAAAGCAACGATCAAGGCTGTTTCCGATCACTGCCCCGTCCTTTTTCAGACAAAACCGCCAGCATGGGGACCCTCAAATGTGTGAAAGGTTGGTGGAGGAAGAAGTTAGAGGCTTGGGATGGATTCCGTTGCATGCGGAAGTTGAAGTTGAAAGAAAAAGTCAAAAGGTGGAGTTCAAAGGTGGCCGAGGATAAACGAGTGGAGACGAGGAAAACTCTAAAGAGAATCGAGAAGATTGATCAAAAGGAAGGGAGTTCTGATTGGTCTTTGGCTTTACAATTGGAGAGGAAGGATTTAAAAAACTGTTGTGTCCGCTTGATCGAGGAGGAGGATGTGGCCTTGAGATTGAAGTGCAAATCCATATGGGCTCGAGATGGTGATGTGAATTCCAAAATTTTCCATTGCTTACTTAGGCGAGGAAAACAAGGAATACCATATAAAAATTGGAGATAGAAGACGGAGTTTTGATAGAGGATGAGGAGGAAATCACGAAGAAGATAGTTGAATTTTATGAGAAGCTATATGAATCGTCGGGAGGGGAATTTTTTGGAGTTAAAGGGTTGGACTAGAGCCCGATTTCCACACATGCCTTTGAATCTTTGGAAAAGCCTTTTGAAGAGGATGAAATCAAGAGCAATCTTCAATTGCGATGGTAACAAGGCTCCCGCTCCAGATGGATTTACGTTATCTTTCTTCCAAGAGTGCTGGGATTTTATGGAAGGAGATGTGGTGAAGGTGATTAAAGAGTTGTGGACGTCTGGTATTGTCAACAGTATTACGAACGAGACGTATATTTGTCTGATCCCAAAAAAAGTAAACTCTTGCAAAAGTGAGGATTTCAGACCCATTAGTTTGGTTACAGGCGTTTGTGAAAGGGAGGCAAATTTTAGATTTGGTTTTGTGCAAATGGAGAAGTGGAAGACTAGAACATCGAGATGAGGAGTGGTTGGGAGTGGTTGTAAAAATTGATTTTGAAAAAGGCTTACGATCATGTCAAATGGAAATTCCTGGATTTTATTATGGAGAGAAAAGGGTTTGGCGATAAGTGGATAAAGTGGATTGCGGGTTGTATCGGTTCCGTTAACTATTCTGTGATGATTAATGGAAGACCGAGTGGCAACTTTGCAGCCTCAAGAGGGCTGCGGTAGGGGGATCCTTTCTCCCGTATCTGTTTACTCTTGTAGTCAATCCTTTGAGCAAGTTACTTGACAGGGCTTGTGGTGCTTCTCTTTTTACTCCTCTGAGCGTGGGGAGATCGAACGTTAAAGTAAGCCAGCTCCAATTTGCGGATGATACATTATTTTTTAGTTCACATGAGGAGGAAAGTTTAATGAACTTAACCTCTATATTGGAGATTTTTTTGCTTAGTCTCGGTATTGAAAACAAATATGGACAAAAGCATTATTTTGGGTTAAATTTGGAAGAAGGGTGACTGTCCAGGCTAGCTGGTATTGTCGGATGTTCAATAGGTTCATGGCCGGTCAAAAATTTGGGTCTACAGGTAGAAGCCCGTTACAAACATCCTTTGGGATCCTGTAGTATCTAGAGTGGTGAAGCGTCTGGATAAGTGGAAAAATGCTTTTTTGTCAAAAGGGGGTAGGCTAACTCTTATTCAGTTAGTTTTATCTGCCTTGCCTATCTATTATATGTCGGTATTTAGAATCCCCGTTGCAATAGCGGTGATGATTGAGAAGTTCATGAGAGATTTCTTTTGGGAGGGGCTTTCTGAAGATAATGCAACTCAATTGGTGGTTTAGGATCAGGTTTGTAGACCAAAAGAATTGGGGGGTTTAGGTATTGGCAATATAAGGAAGAGAAATGAGGCCTTATTAGCAAATGGCTACGGAGATTTCCATTGGAATCTGATGCATTATGGTATAGGGTTGTAGCAGGGAAATATGGATTGGCTCCAAATAAGTGGGATTCAGGAGAAGCATCAAGAGTAACATTAAGGAAGTCAATTCAGTCAGCATCTGAGAGTTTTTTCCAGCGGGCTAAATGGAAGATTGGCTCTGGAGAGAGTGAGATTTTAGGAAGATTCTTGGATCAAAGGCGGTCTGTTATGCTCAAGATTTCATCACCTATACTGAATTTCCCCTCTTCAGAATCAGCTGATAGCAAATTTTGTGGTGGATAATGAAGTTCAAGAAGATGGCAGCGTCTTATGGAATCTCAGATTCCCAAGGAATTTAACAGAAAGGGAGTTAAGGGAGACTTCGGAGCTAATTGGGAATGTGGAGAGAATAAGGCTTATTGGTGTAATTCAGGATAGAAGGGAGTGGGTACATGAAAGTAGTAGCCTGTTCTCAGTTAGATCCTTATTTTCTTCATTGATAGTTGATTAGTTAGTCGTGAGTTTTGCCTTCTATGAGAGTATTTGGAAAACTCGAGCCCCATTAAGGTTTAGGTCTTTTGTTGGTTGCTCGCTCTTAATAAGGTAAGTACTCATGAGTTAATACAGCAACGAAGTCCGTATCTTTCCATCTCTCCTGGTTGGTGTTGTTTGTCTATATTATATATATATATTATAATATATATATATATATATATATAATATAAGTTTAAAATTAAAATGAAACAACTAATTTTGAAATACCCGGCGGCAAACGAAACCACCAAAATAGGGATTTAGTGACATAACCGTAACATATTGACATTTCGAATTCTTTCCCAAGCAAAACAAAAAGAAAAAAAAAACCATTTCGAATTCTTCCGCGTCTCGGAGACCTATATAATATATCGAGGAAGAAGTGAGTTAGGTCTCCGAGACGTGGAAGAATTCGAAATGGTTTCGGAAAGAATTCGAAATGGTTTTTTTTTTCTTTTTTTTTTTTTTTGCTTGGGCATCCCAAAGCAAAGAGTTTGTTGGTTTTCCTTTTTCAGATCTGATTAGGGTTTGGAATCTTCAGATGCAATAGTTAGGGTTTTTATTTTTGTTTTTGTTTTTGCTTGGTTGGGTGCTTTCTTTGTTGTTTTTCCTGTCAAAGTTTTGTTTTCCTCGTTTTTTGGAGGATCCCTTGTCCTCTGCTATACACTTTTTTATTGATTATTTAATGGTCTTGTTTCTTATATAAAGTATAAAAAAGATATTTTTATTGCTTCTTTTTTTATTTTTTTATTTTTTTATAAGAAACAAAAGAACTTTATTAATGAAAAGAGGGGACAAGGAGTCCACCAACAGAAACAGAAATACAAAAATGATAGACTAAAGCAAGAAAGAGGAGCTAAACTGAACAGCCCTAATTACTGAAAAACCAAGTCCCATCCCCTTAACAGATCTGCAAAAGAAAACCCAGAAAAGCCTTTAGTTTGATGATATTTTCATTGCTTCTTATGAAATTGGAGAGATTGAGCTCTTCAGATGTCATTGCATTTTAGTTCTGATGGCTATTTTGCATCTCTTTTAGGTTTGATGATACAAATCCTGATGCTGAAAAGAAAGAATATATTGATCATATTAAGGATATTGTCCATTGGATGGGTTGGGAGCCCTTCAAGGTATCACGGGGTATTTACACTGATTGCATGGCCTTCTTAGTTGTTTTTTTTTTTTTTTACCCAACTTATTTTTGTCAATTCTTTTTTCAGATCACATATACCAGTGATTACTTTCAAGATCTGTATGACTTGGCTGTGGAGCTCATTCGAAGGGGTCATGCTTATGTTGATCATCAGGTATTTTTTCAACACTTGTTAAACTTGTATTGTATCTACTATCTTGTTTAATAATAGGTTTTGTTTCATATCACGAAAGGGGGGACTACTAGCTCAATGATAGCATTTCCAGACAAGGGCGGCTATTACTTGTAATTATCTAGATTTATGTTGATATGAGTTGTGAGCTAGGAGTGCTATATTCCATCTGGGAGTAGCACTTTTCTCTCACTCACTAGTTTGACAATATCATCGAGTTGTGGAGTTACCCTTGTTGCTGTATGTACATATGCCAACTTGCAGTAATACTGTTTTTAACGTAGGATTAGAGATTCCTTCATGATTAGTTGTTTATAATTCTTCTTATTTTTATAATCCTATTGGCGCTGTCTGACAAAGTAACCTTTGTTTATATGTATATGTTATAGACACCTGATGAGATAATGGGTTATAGAGAAAAAAAGATGAACAGTCCTTGGAGAGACAGGCCGATTGCTGAATCGTTGAAACTTTTTGAGGATATGAAACGGGGTCTTATTGAAGAAGGAAAAGCAACGCTTAGGATGAAGCAAGACATGCAGAGTGATAATTTTAACATGTATGACCTTATCGCATATCGAATCAAGGTAAAGTGCATGCGTATATCATGTTTCATTTGTCATACCATGGACAATTTCGCATTGATTTACCATGTGATTTTGTTTCTCTAGTTTACTCCTCATCCACATGTTGGAGACAAGTGGTGTATCTACCCAAGTTATGATTATGCTCACTGTATTGTGGATTCCCTTGAGAATATCACACATTCGGTATGTCCGATCCCTTCGACTGGTATTACTTCAGAATTATATTTGTCTAAATTAACTTTGTATGGTTTATGATTCCAATGAATCAATTAACAGTGACGGTAGTAACAATTTTTTTTTCTTTTTTTGCTTTTTGTTTTTTGTTTTTGTGTGTGTGTGCGGCCGCGTGTGTGCGTGTGCGTGTGCGTGTCTGCCGTTACCCCGAAGAAACTAGGGGTTTTGAAGGGAAATGTCACGAAGTTGAATTAAAGAGGTTTTTGGAGATACTAGGTAGTTTAAAACTGATATTTACTCTCATATTGAGCGGGTGGATGACAAAGAAGATAGTGGGAGCATTGGTGATAATAACAAAGAGGAAACAAGAAAATTAATTGGAAGAGGTCAATTTTCAAAGAAGCTATTTTGAGGAATCAAAAGATGAAGTCTTGGTGGATCAAGAAATTCTATGTTAACTTAGACTTGTTCATAATTTGGTGAGTAATAGGAGAAATAAAAACTTGATCTTGAGGTTGGATAAGGAGGATGGTTCGGTGTTGGAGAGTCAGGAAGAGATGGAGGAGATAATTGCATTTTATGCAAAACTGTAAAACGTGTGCTGGCCCATTGGTTAGGCATTGTGATGAATCTACTATAATGGGTCGACGTGATAGGAACCAACACTCTCTACTCAGATAGATGAACAAGGGGAATGAATCTCTATTCAATAAACTGATAACTCTTTAATACAGTACAAGAAACCCTAATAATGGTGGTATTCGAGAGACCACCAGCTCTCCCAAGGGTTGCCCGAAATCCCAAGTACTCCCACCCCGCCGCAAGAACACCTTGTCCTCAAGGTGTTGATCAAGTGATCACACTGGAATGATGCCACCTCCTTCACATTGCCATGAACTCGAATATTGGAACATTTAAGGTAGCAGCAAAAATAGAGTGCCTTCGAAACATGAACCCAAAAGCAATGATCCTCATAGCAATGGGTCTTGGAGCAGGGAACCATAGAGCATCAAACCTTGAAACGTTGAGTTTTGGAGTGACAAACCTACCAATTTGAAGTCCGCCATTTGCAAAATCTCCAATTCCAACTCCAATCATACCAATTTCTCCATTCCTGGCCACACTTGCTCTAACATTTATGGACTTAGCTCAGTTTTCTTCGGAATTAGCATTGGAAATCTTTGACCCAGCCCTAATAGCATTGGAATACTAAGGCCTTGTTCATTTTAACGATTTGAGTTTAGAATTCGAGTTTTGCTACAGTAAAAAGCTCTCAGAAACAGTCACATCTAACTTTTTTGCTACCGTAAAAAATTCTCACATAAAGTCACATCTCAACTCGAATCAACGAACTAAACGGGCCCTAAGACTCTGTCCAAATCTCGTTAGAATTAGCCTTAGTCTCTCTGGAATTTTGAGGACGAACCCCAATTGCACCAAAATTAGCCTCAATCTTGCTGGAATTATGAAGTCTAGCCCAACTACACTGAAATTGCCCATATTCACACCGGCAAACCAAGACCCAACCATAATTTCGCTCGTATTCCCAGTCCCAGCCCCAATCACACTAGTATTGCGAGGACCAGCCCCAATTGCACGGAAATGAGCCCCAATTGTGTGGAAATTAGCCCCAATCGCACTGGAATCACATCACTCAATCTAAATCCGGTCAAAATTTCGGAAACCCATCCCAAATCTTGTCGGAACTCGCGCTGAAAACCCCTAATACAACCCCAATAGCACCGGAATTCCAAAACCTAGACCAAATTGCGCCACAATTTCAGAGCCCAATGCCCTTTTCATGATTTTTCGTCCACCCTAGACCAAAATTGCGAATACCCGTGAGCCCATCGCTGTAGACGTGTGATTTCCCAGATTTGATCGATTCTAAACCCGATTGCCAAAAGTCACTTAAAACATGCGATTCTACCCAAACTTTGAGCGAATCTTCTAGGTCAATCGTCGGACCACCAGGCTTCTCCTACATGTGGTTTGCCATACCCGGAGGGTAATTCTTCTGTATTGAAGGTCTAACTGGAGTCCAATTTCTACTTTCGCTGCTGAGTCGTTAGAAAAGCAATTTGAAAAGGATGAAATTAAGAAAGCAATTTTTAGCTGCGTTGCGAGTAGGGCCCTTGGCCCCGATGGTTTCTCTCTATCTTCCTACCAAGATGTTGGACTCTTGTTAAAGGCGATGTTTTGAAGACTTTCTAATATTGTTAGATACCAAAAAAAGTCCCACATGGAATGATTATAAGACAAATAGTGGGTTTATAAGCCCTTGGGGTTCCTCCCCTTGCAAGCTGGTTTTGCAAGAGTGAGTTCTACCTAATGAGTTTGTAACTATTGGTATCAGAGCCAGTCCACCACGTCACGGGTTCAAGTCAAAAGTTGGTGAAGCCGTCAAAGCGTCGAATACTGATAGCCGAGTGAAGCCGCCAAAAGAGGAAAGCGATACCGCCGGCTCAGTATTAATAATGTAGACTGCCGTTGATTTGGGCCCACGTGTGGTGGAATGTTACAAAACCACCACTTCGAGTATGGGATCAGACGTAGTATGGACTTCGGTTCTGTAACCGTTGCCTACGGATGGAGCGACCTAAGGAGGGCTGCTACCAGATTGAAGGCAGGATCGGCGAAGTCACCAAGCTGGGAAGATGGGCCGCCGTCCAATAGTGGGTTTATAAGCCCTTGGGTTCCTCCCCTTGCAAGCTGGTTTTGCAAGGGTGAGTTCTACCTAATGGGTTTGTAACAAATATTTTTGGAGATTGGGGATCATTAATAGCTCTACTAATGAGACTTGCATTTGTCTAATCCCAAACACCTGTAGAATAGAAGATTTTCGGCCCATCAGCTTGGTTTCAAGCCTTTACAAGATCATTTCTAAGGTACTTTCAAATAGACCGAAGGTTGTGCTTGAAGAAATAATTGTGGAAGTCCAAGGCGCCTTTGTTGCAGGAAGGCAGATTACAGATGTAGTGTTTGAGCCTTCTTTCTTCAACCAAACCCGAACCAGTCCTCAAGCAGAACCGAATTACTATGGGCTGGGAAGGACCAATTATTATCTGCAGCTCCCAAAATTTTCCGCCACATATTCCGAGTCAAATTGCAGTGAAGAAACATACGATCCACTGATTTCGTACTTTCCCTGCGCATGACACACCAGCTCGGGGATAAAGCAGAAGAGGATGTTTTCTTTGCACTAAATCACAAGTATTCAGTCTTATGTGAAAAAACAACTAAGCAAAAACCTTAGCTCTAACAGGAGCACAAGATTTTGAATTGAATTTATTAGGTTCAAAAGAGAAAAGATTTGGATGTTTGACAAGAGAGACAAAGTAAGAGTTAGAAGAAAAGCCATCTATACTACAAGACCAAACCCGTTTATCTGTTTGAAGAGGTGTAGGGGAAAAAGTCCCCAATACATTAATTAAGATTGAAGAGTTGACCAAGTTCCTTATCATTTAGATTTCTCCGAAAGCCAGTCCCATTTAATATTGGAATCTACTACACTGATTAAAACTTCTATAATCTTCACTCCCTTCTCTTAATTAGGCGGTAAAGCCTAGAAAAGGTGATTGCAAAAGGGCAAATCACCACACCACTTATCCTCCCAAAATCTTATCTTGCTACCATCCCCCACCACACATTTTACTCTATCAAGGAACAAATTCTTGAGTGCCTCTACTCGCCATATTAGACTCCCATCCATTGGGTTGCATCCTGTACTTTCTTGTAACTATGGAAACCCAAAGAGAGCCTTGTTCCAAAGTGAACCTCCAAATCCATTTACCCAACCATGCTTGTTTTTTATGGAACAGATTTCCAATACCCAAGCCCCCATGTTCTTTGGTGTGAGAGACCACTTTCCAAGTAACAAGATTGTCGATTCCCCCATTCTCTGCTCCATCCCATAGGAATCTTGTCATTTTATCTTCAATTTCTCATTTTATCTCCTATTTCTTTAGACTACTTCGAACCATATAAATTTATCTGGAAATCTAGTGTCCCCCATAGAATTAAGGTCTTCGCTTGGTTGGTGGCGCTTGGGAACCTAAACACTTGTGACTGGTTTCAGAAAGAAACCCTCATATGTCACTCTCCCCTTCTTGGTGTGTCCTTTGCAGAGCTAGTGGAGAATCCATAGACCACTTATTGCCGCATTGTCCGGTGGCTAGTCTGTTTGGCAGAAACTAATTTTGGAAGTTGTTTTTTCTTGGGTTTTACCAGCTCATTGTAGCTCGGTCTTGACAGAAAGTTTGCCTGGTTTGAATTTGAATAACATGTCTAAAGTTATGTGGAAAAGCATGGTACTCTGTGTTTTGTGGACTTTGTGCTTGCTCGGAAAGCAATGCTAGAATTTTTTAGGAAAAGTAGATGGATATTGTTGATCTTTTTGAGAAAGCAAAGTTCACAGCATCTTTATGGGCTTCATCTGACAAAGTTTTCAAGGGTTTTCCCTTTTCCTTGGTGGTTTTGAATTGGAAAGATGTAATAGGCACTTCAGTTTTTGGTGTTTTCTTATTTCTGATCTTGTATCTTGTTTTCATCAGGGAGGATACCTATTTTCTTTTTTGTAATTGAATATTTCATCAATGAAGTTTTTCTTATTATAAATATTTCTTTAGCCACTGCAACCGGCAATTTAATAGGGAGAGGAAATAAATGGAGATACCAGCCAACAAGGTTTGGATAAGGGTCAACCTACCCCCTCTAGATATGAAACTTTTTTTCCAAGACCCTAACCTCTGAGAAACCTTTTCCACAACCAGATTCCAGATCTGTTGACAGGAATTGTACTTTTTGTGTTAATATAGCGCAACTTTCTTTTGACATGCTATATCAAGGTTTCTGCTACCTTGCCTATTGCCATTTGCCACAAACACAAGTACACTTATTGCTCTATAACATATATTTCCGTTTGTATTAAATGTTTCAATGTTTCAATCTTGCATATCCTTGTCCCCTAGTTGTGTTTTTTCCGCTTCAGATTTTTTTGTTTATACAAAGAAATAATGAAAACCTGATATAACTCTGTAGCTGTGTACACTTGAATTCGAGACACGGCGTGCTTCATACTATTGGTTATTGCATGCACTCGGGCTTTACCAGCCATATGTGTGGGAATATTCACGATTGAATATCAGCAATACTGTCATGTCCAAGCGTAAGGTGTGTTAACCTCTGGAGTGTATTTCTAGGTGTAGCCTTGAAAATTTAAAGCAACTATTGGACTCTGATATCCTCACTTATAGCATTTGTTTTTTTAGTTAAATCGACTAGTGACAGAAAAGTGGGTTGACGGTTGGGACGATCCTCGCCTCATGACACTTGCTGGCTTAAAGCGTAGGGGTGTGACTTCCACTGCGATGAATGCTTTTGTTAGAGGAATTGGAATCACTAGAAGGTAAGTTCCTGGCAAAATAAGCCAAAATAAGCCCTAAATGTATATGTTTTAGGAAGTCAGATAAATATATTCACACCATAATATTTCTTTTGCTCTCCTGTTTTACATATTTTCCATTCCCTGGGCTACAGTGATTGTAGTATGATACGCGTGGATCGCCTAGAGTATCACGTAAGAGAAGAACTAAACAAAACTTCTTCTCGCACAATGGTTGTGCTCCATCCACTCAAGGTGATCATTTTTCTTTTTGGTCTCTTGTTGCTTATTTTGATATGCATATTTCTACGTGGAAGGAAACCTAATTACTTGTGTATTCTAAGGTTGTTATTACGAATTTAGAAGCTGGCACTACAATGGATCTTGATGCTAGGAAATGGCCTGATGCTCCAACTGATGATGTTTCAGCTTTCTACAAGGTGAATTTCGATTTGAAAACTAGAGCTGTATTTTTCTATTTTAAGATGATCTTATATGTAAAACTTGAACATTCTTCACGACTTCATGATCTTATATGCTTTTTAATTATCGGTTGTTGAGTGTGTGTGGTTCAATGTGCTGATTACAAATGGCTTAAAATTTGTAGAACTTTGTCACTATATCTTTCAGTCCTTTACTTTCAAGAGGATAAATTAATGTTTATGAGCATCCCCCTCGGCCCTCCCTTAACATAATACTTGCTAATAGTTTATCAGACACGCTCAGTGTTCTAAATCTAATTGTGATTTCTTTCCTGCTTTCTTCTTAGTTGCCCTTCTCCAATGTAATATATATCGAGCAGTCTGATTTTCGGATGAAAGATACAAAAGATTATTATGGGCTTGCTCCGGGTAAATCTGTACTACTCAGGTAGACATTCTTTACAAGTTTTTATTTGGCTATATATATATATATATATTTTATACAAACGAGAGAATATTATCAATAAGAGATAGGGTACAGCAGGGTAAAAGGACCTAAACAAAGCAAAAACAGGACCAAGAAATCCTAAAAACACAAAATTAATGGAGACTAAATCCCATCCTTTATACAAATCCGAAAAAGAAAAAGCATTGCGGCCTTTAACTTGAGACATCCATAAAGCCACGCAAAACTTAAATTCTGTCCCACATTGAAAGGATCCCAGAAGTTTTTATTTGGCTATTTACTTTGCTGGTAAGATCCACATTGGCATTTTTTTTTCATGAGTGCAGATACGCATTTCCCATTAAGTGCACTGATGTTATCTTCGATGGTGACAAGGAAACTGTTCTCGAAATCCGTGCTGAGTATGATCCTTCCAAGAAGACAAAGCCAAAGGTCTCTTTGTTATGTTGAACTCTGTTTTGAAACTTGGTTATGCGAATGTTCAAAACGGGCTGTACTTAATGACTTTTTGCTTATTCTATGTCTCATACAGGGTGTCCTTCATTGGGTTGCAGAACCTTCTCCAAGGGTTGATCCACTGAAGGTGGAAGTTAGATTGTTCGACAAACTGTTTCTCTCCGAGGTTGGAAAGTTATTATACATACACATCTTCCTCTCTATCTCACCCCTTCCCTCCTTCCGATGGTGTAACATCGGATTTTTGTGATATATTCCCTCTCTTTCTTTCCAAGAATAAATTTTGGAATCTAATTCTTGTTTCAATTTTGGACTAGAATCCTGCGGACCTTGATGACTGGCTTGCTGACCTGAACCCACAATCCAAGTTGGTTATACCCAATGCATATGCTGTGCCCACACTTCGCAATGCCACTACTGGTGATAGTTTTCAGTTTGAAAGACTTGGTATATTCCCAACTCCTTTTTTTTTTAATCAATTTTATGTTAGATGTTTTGATTCCTAGTTTTAAAATAAGTTTGTTGGTAGACATTGCATTGCCCAGAAGAAATATCTATCACTTCGCCTATCTTATTAAGGAGAAAAATTTGACAGTTATGTTCTGGATCAATAAAGAATAAAGATGCCTTTCTCAAGAATGACTTGAAAAAGATACAATCAGATGTATCTTTTTCTTTGGCAGATAACTCCCTGAACTCATGCTCTTTAGCAGTTTAGTTTTTAAATTGACGATGAATTTTTCCAATTTAACAGAGGTAATTACATGTTCACATGATTACTTTCAATTTTATAGAAAAGTTACATCAGGTGCAAAATATTCTAAAGCAACTATTTTGCTAAAATTTAGTGTGCTAAACTATTAGGAGGAGTAGAAACTGCGGGAGTTAAGAAGTTGCATCCTTCCAAATAGGAACTTGCTAATCCATGAGTATACCATAAAGTTCAATTAAATTTTAGAAAACCATCGTCAATTTTGGAGTTGGGGACTGAAACTGTCAGAAAACACAAGTTCAAGGAGTAATCCACAACAACAAAAAATAAAAAATAATAACAATAATAAATAAAAAATAAAAAATAAAAAAATAATTATTTTTTATCCGAGCCCATCAGGCCCTATATTTTTCCTAAGCTGGATCAATCTGAACCTTTGGTACCGACCATATATATAGTACTGGCCAGACATTGTGAGTTTAGGCTTAATAGGTTTTTGTTATTGTCATCAGTTTTATTTGTGTGTGCGCCTGCGTTTTTTATTTATTTTTATTTTTGTGTATTGCGGCTCTTGCATTTTACTAATTTGGACATGTTAGTTCATTTGCCTATATAACTTATTGGATAATCCATGTGCATTTTTAGGCTATTTTGTGGTTGACAAAGATTCAACTCCTGAAAAGCTGGTCTTTAATCGGACAGTAAGACTGCGAGACAGCTACAGTAAGGGTGGGAAATAGGTTCATGCCATGGACGAGTAAAATGGACGGAGGCAAGTAGAAACGTATCTTGTGTTTTGTGTTGGAATTCTTTTTATACACCGCAATCATTGTAAAAACATTTTAATAGACATTGGCCGCGGAAGTTGAGTGAAAAATTTATCTGTTAAATTATGTGGAAAAGCTAATTTAAAATGTTGTTCATTTTATTTTATTTTTTATGCTTCACATTGGCCTGTCTCGCAGTCTCGCAGATACCAGTTGCGCTTTAAGCTTTATGCTCTTTTTTTTTTTTTTTTTTTAAGGATAAGTTGAATGCATTATTTGTGTTATAAAAAATGCGATATTATGAGGATAAATATAAGTTGTTACAAAACGAAGCCTTTAGTGAAAGAAGAAACGACGACATTCAAAGGCTTTTTAAAGATCATGGAACTTCGAGCGGAAGAAAGGCCTACACAAAGCAAAGAATCTAGAGTAAAATGAAGCTGACCTGGACAAAAAGGAAATTTAGAACCAAGAAACATAATATTAGAGATGGCGTGGACGATAAATAAAGTCAGGTCACGATCTTATGGAAATCAATAAATATTGAAAGCACAAAGGCAAATGGACCTTTTTTGTGATTTCAATTTATTGAAATTCTTTCAATTTAGAGGGAGAGAGTTTAAGTGACGGAAACATTAAATTATTTTACTCCAACAACTTAGCGCCGTATGTGGGAGATCTTCAAACGAAAAAAGAATTGGAGCTGAAGTAGTCGGATGCCGGCATCGATGGCCAATACTGAAGCTGAAGACATTTTATTTTTTAGTTGAAAATAGAAAATTAAACTGATAAATTATGAATCATAATCTGGTAGATATGATCGGCAATCAGCTAATGTGACCGAATGTTGCCTCCCGACGTCATCTGGGCTCGTTTGGTAAGAAGATTCCTATAGTTTGAATCATGGTTTTAGTTCAAACTAGATTTTACTTGCAAAAAGTAAAAAGTAGTTTGAACCCACCCAACAAAACTAATGTTTGGTTTAAAAAGAAAAGATTTAAGGTCTGAACCTGATGTAAACTTTTAATCGTTCTAAACCCTAAAAATGAAACTATTCCTCCCCTTAGTTTTGGTTGGTTTAAATCCCAAGTTTAAACTACACATGGTTCAAACACAAAGATTCATAGTTTGAACTCCAAGTTCAACCTATAATTCAAAACCCATTTAATTCAAACCCAAAGGTCAAACTACCATGATTTGAATCCTCATATCAAATGGACCCTAGTAATTTCTGAGTGGTAATCTTATAGATTATCTTTTTGACTATTAAGGGTAGTTTTGACAATACATATATTGTGACTTTGACTGGTTCTAGTCCCCAAAGTAGTAGAAATCAATAGGGCAACGTTTAAGACCCAAACATCAAAGGAATACTATTTAAAGCAAAATTTGTCTCTTTTTACATAGTTAACTAAAAAATGTATTAATTAAAAATATAGGGTAAAAAACTAGACTGATAGTCTTAAGAGTATTTTTGTCCCTTTCTCATAAATTTAATGCACATTATAACTATAATTATTTGTGTGACGTCACCTAGAGCACAAATATAGTTGTCTAACCTAATTGAGCAAGACGAGTTTTTCGTGCCAAAAGGGGGGGGGCCTGCTAAACTTACACTTGGGAAATGAATTTTTCTAAGTTCAGGAAAATGGCGATGAGCCACACTTGTGTGTTGAAAGTCGTCTTTCTTAACCAATCCTATGAGATGATACTTGATAGGGGGTTTATCAAACCCAACCCAGCAAAAATAAACTTTGTTAAGTACCAAAAAATACTTGATGAAGTAGAACTTGTGCATCAAAGGGGGCGGACTTGACTAGTCAATAACAACTGAAATGAATCCTCCGTGCAAAGTCCGCAGGTAAAATCTGAAATGCAATTGGACAGGGACAAAAAGATTCACCCAGTTAAAGCAAAAGTAGAGGTTCTAGTCATAGTTACCATCACTGACCAAGTAAACCATGCAAATAAAGAACCCCTATTAACGAGTCGTTTGCAAAAATATATAAATATATATATTACAACCCGAACACAACATGGAGAAAACAAAATTGGACCATAACTTGGCATTTGACAGTGTATTAGTAAAGCTTAACAATGTCCGGCTGGACAAATGAATACTTATCTCGGACCTGTAAGATACATTCCAAGGGACATGACTATCAACTTCAATAATGAACCACTTCCCTTCTCAACCGCAGTGTTCTCTTGATATTGGCGTCTTCAACCATCTAAATGGTTGTCTCCAAGCGGAGGAATCTTCAAGCATTTTGGAGAATAAAAACCATCGTGCTGACGTTCGTGAATCTGTCTTACGCTTAATCGCCTATTGAAACAACTTCCTTAACTTTTCAGCAGAAAGGGCTGCTCTTTTATTTGTTGGCTCGAGAACAAGTGCGTACTTGAAATCTGCAAGGTGAAATTGCTAATGAATGAGATGATAGCTAATGGATATTTTTATGATAAAGAAAAAAACCGTTATTGATATGAGAATCAATTAAGGTATAAGAGGATAGGTATCCTCACAGCCCGGATAGAAGAAAAAGAAAACAAAACAAAACAAAGCTTGATTAGGCCTAATAATGAAAATTAAAAATCATCTCCCCATTACATCTTTCCAGTTCAGGCTAATCAAAGAAAATGGAAAATCCATTGAGAGCTTAAGTTTATCCATCGACGCCCATGGAGGCTGAGAATTTCACTTTCACGAAAATGCTGACCGTCTCCATCTCCTTTCCTTAAAAAATTCTGGTGTTTTTTTTTAAAACATTTCCAAAATACTTAAATTTAGATACATAGAGAGCCCCACACTAAGCGATGGACGGACACAAGGGGCTGCACGCTGGTGCCAATGGGTCGGGCTGTTAAGCCCCTGGCAGTTAGTCCAACGAGCGTAATGAAGGATATGTTGGGGATTAATGAAGGATATGTTGGGGCCCCATAAGCCCAAAATCCAGGAGGTATAGGCTTAATTTAATAGTGCTATAGATTTAGAAAAAATTGCTTTTAACTGTACTGAAGGAAGAAGCAGCTATTACGAAAAGCAGCTGAGTGTTTGGTAAACTATAATTATAATAGCTGTGCTGGTTTCAAAATCAGTGTAATAGCGTTTGGTAAATTATGAGGTTGAATTGCTATAGATAGTTAAAAATTACAACTATATTATATTATACTATAATATAATACAAAAAAAACTATTATTATATAATATATTATATAATTATGATATAGAATATAATAATATTATTAAAATACTAACTGAAATAATTAAAAATAACAATTATATTATATTATACTATAATATAATATATATAATTACAATATAATGTATATTTATTATTATATTTAATATAATACAATAAAACTCTTATTAAATAAGATATTATATAACTATGACATAAAATAGAATAATATTAAAATGGTTAATATAATTACAATATTATAAAACATATTATAATATTATATAAGAAATATTAATATTTTAGTTATAATATAATTAAAAATTACAACTATATTATATTATAATATAATATAATATATAATATAATAATTATTATAACAATATAATATGTTATAAAATAATAATTACAATATCATATTATTAAAATAATTATAATATTATTATAATATCATATGATATGATAAAATAATAATATTCGAGTTATTAATATAATTATGATATTATTTGTTATAATATTACTATTATATTATATTACGAGTCTGAATTTTAGATTCGGAAGATTCTAAATTTTAAATTTTATTAGGGGTATTATGGGTATTATGAAAGTTTCATTAATTGTACTATGTTGAATCTCGCACAATCTAAAAGCTAAAGTTGCCTTTAAACTGATTCTGATTTTGGCCGTAGATTCTTAAAAAATTCTTCAAAAAACACTTTTGAGAAGATTTACCAAATATTAAAATCAACTTTTACTACAAGTAAAAGTTGATTTTGAGAGGAAAAAACAATACCAAACTAAGCCATAGTCTAGCTGTAATTCTACAGATCCACCACTAGCCTAGATGTAGACCCTCAAAATTAAAAAAATAAATAAATAAACCCTGAAATAAAGAAAAGAGAAGTTCAAATTATAAAAATAATAAAAATAAATAAATAAATAAAGAAGAAAAGAAAAAAAGAATCCAAGAAGTTTTTTGAATTTCATAGAATGTCCAAACCTCGATAAAAAAAATTGGTTAAAACATGGGGCCATAAATTTGGCAGGATAAAAGGAATTTAGAGGCTGACCTTCAATTGCCTCCTTGTAATACCCAAGCATCTCCCTTGCTGTGCCTCTTCGCAAGTAAGATTTTATACTCTGAAGAACCAAAACAATAGCAATGTAACTGTACTCTGGTCAGAGTAGTCCCATGCTTGTATGCAATATAGATTAGAACAACACTAATTACGTTTGGCTTTAAATTAAAGATATCCAAACAAATTCACACGTAGCCCATTTTAAATGATCTATGCAGAAACAACATGGGATATTACCTTTTTATCCAGGTTGATAGCTTTGGTACAATCTGCCTCGGCTTGAAGAAAACTGGATTTGCATAAGGATACAGATTAAAAATGACAAGTCCAGTTTAGCAACTAAACATCTAAAAGCGTTTTATTACCTTCCAACTTCCAGATATGCCGCAGCCCTGTTACTGTAATATGTTGCATTATCGCCACAAAGTTTAATAGCTTCAGTATAATAACTGATGGCTCTGTGCCACTGTTTTTCTTTATACGCTTGATTTCCCTGAGTATGGGTCACAAAATTATACCACAAACTAAAGGGAACTGTAAATAACCAAAATGAAATATTATGACTTGACATATTCTTAGTCAAATATACCTTCTCCTTAGCAATTTCTGCAGATTGTTCCCGGCTGACAATATTTTTTGATACTTTGGACTTAGCAACATCAGTCTGCTCTCGTAAAGTCGTATACAAGGAATGCAGCGCATCTAGTAAAAAGCGATCAGCCCCATGCCGTGCAATTAAGGAGACTGAAACAGGACAATTGTCATCAGACCCCAAAGGAACAGTGACCTGAAAAGAAAAGAAACAAAAAAGGGAAAAGATATCATAAGCAGAAGACCTGATCTACCCTTCTTTGTTCCCTTCCCAAATTAAATTTTTCTTGAAATTTTCTAATGAGATTTGATATTTATTTTTCCTCTCAAACATACATAGACAGAGGTAGATCGAGACCACGCACACTCAAGAGGAGGGTGTGAGAGAGAGAGAAATCACCTGACAGCAACCAGACATGCTAGCGATACTTAATAGAGCAAATGCACGGTTCTGGAACTCCTCTGATTGGATCTCCTTCCCACCCACTTTTGGAGGAGGATCTGCAATGGTTGGTATCACCAGAATCCCATCATCCTATGGAAAATATCAAGCAGAAAAATTAGCATAAATTTATGAAATCCTAGATAAAAAAATTAAGACAGCAGAAACGTTAAAAGGAGCACGCACAACGAATATAAATATCCAATGCTACTCATTTCTACTCTTAAGATCAACTAACTTAAAAGAATTTCTGCATTCATTATTTTATTGTTAAATTCTTGGTACTTCATAGATGATAAAGTCTGTCAACATAAAAGAATGCATGACTAGCCCCAACGTAACATGATAAAAGCTTCAGTCTTATCTTGAATTCGTTACAATATAGCTAAGACTGATAAGAGGATAAAGTCTGATCTTAACGTGATAAAGTCTTCAGTTGGGTAATATGGATAGAAGGAAAAAGAGGATCTTCGAAGACTGTGCTTGTTCAGAAAGTGAACTTTGGGAGCAAGTGAAGTATCGGGATGCTATATCATTAGGGTACTTTCCAATGTACCCTTTTTAATTATATTATTTTGTTGGACTCCCCGTCCTCCTGCTTCGTGTTCTTTGAACTTCATGATTTTTTTTTCCCCTTTCCAAAGAGAGAATTTGTTACAGTATAGAACACCAAAACATGCAGGTTAATAGCAAATTTTGAATAGGAACAATGGTACAGCAGACAATTCATACATTCAAAATGGGCATATTAAGAGCATAATAAGACCCGTTGGTAATCCAGGCAGTCTAATCTGGATTGTGGAGAAATTATGTGAAAAATTTAATAAGCTCGAGAACAAAAATAATCTCCGAAATTAAGTTGAACAGAAAAATTATCTGAGTGCATCTACTAGACTTGACAAATAAATAAATAAATAAAAACCCATGGACCAACAATAAATAATAACACATTTGCAGAATACATGACTGGTAATGTCCTATTAATTTGGCATACAATTAGAAAGATGGCTAAAAGGAAAAAACTGCATCTTGAAAAAAACGGTACAAAATCTCAAAAATTGCACCAGTTCATAATCTATCAATCCGAAACATTCATCTCATTTCGTAAAGCTTTTAATTCTTTTAATACGTTTTCTTGCTTCATGAGCATGAGTTAGAGAGAAATAAATAAGAAAAAAATTTCCAGTAAATGTAATTAAGCAGTTAATTAATTCAAGATAAACCAACTTTAGCATGCTGGTACGGAATCAATTTTATCAAATAAGCATAAACACCAAAACAATCAGCTGATGACAAAGAGTAGTAGTATAATCCAAGTTCCTTCAAGTCCAAAAGAATGGACGTTTCAAGCGAATTAACATTCCAATGCAAAATGCATTTGGAAAAACGTCAACAAATTATTAAACAAAAAAGTATTACCTTCAATAAAGAGTTAAGAGCTGAACGAATCTCATTCCTAATTGATTTACAGCTTTCAATTTCTTCATCTTCTATGTCTAGCGTCTCGTGCAATGCTGATGAGATAACAGGATCCAAAACAGGCTTCACCATGTTGATCCATTCCTCATGGTTATGTCTAAACTCGTGCCTGTATGAACAGAACAAAACTCAATTAGTACCTTGTCCAGTTGCCTTAATAACAGAGAAACTTTACTGAGAAATTGAAAGACATGCGAATGAAGACATGCGGTCCACCTAGGTAACCACACAAAAAAGATAGCACAAACCGAACAATATACAAAACGTTTTCCCAATTCCACAGAAAAAAAATGGAAACACCATGTAATCTAAAAACAAAGAACACCCAAACAGAAAAACCGGAACTGAACTTTGCCCGACTAATGAATCCTCTTCTTGAACCTCGTCAACCAAGATGCATAAGTTCGTTCCAAGCAAACTGTCCAAAAAGTTTAGCCCTCCTACTCACACCACATGAAAATCTCTCAATAAAGCGAGAGGCAAAAAGTTTCCATGGCCTTGCTACTTTCCATCAGCAGTTCATCGAGGCATCAGTAGTATCATGACACCTCCATAACCATTTCCCCAACAAAGCTTGATTCTTCTTCAACAAGTTTCCTATAGCCAAACCCCCTTCTTCTTTAGGTCGAGACAACGTTTTCCAGGCTACAAGATTATCCACTCTCCCATCCTCTACTCCATCCCACAAGAATCTTCTCATCTTCGATCTCTCTAGCCACTGCCAAGGTAGTTTAAACAAGAACAAAAAATAGATTGGGATACTTGCCAAAACTGATTGGATAAGAGTCAGTCTCCCACCTCTAGATAAGAATCCTTTTTTTCCACAACTCCAATCTCTTGGAGACCTTTTCCACAACTGGGTTCCAATACTCCCGAGATAAAGGGTTTCCACCTAGTGGGAGACCTAAATACTTCATAAGCCATGAACCCACTTCAAGTGCCAAATTCCAAATAAACTCCTCCTCCACATTAATTCCATATAACGTGTTTTTTCCCATGTTTATTCGAAGCCCTGAACAGTGAGAAAAAAAATTTAGAATGGCAGCCAAATTTCTAACGTTATCTCCCCAAGGTTCAAGAATAAACAGGGTGTCGCCCGCGAATTGAAGATGAGAGATTTGAACTTGTTCCCTATCAATCTTAAAACCTTTTACCACCTCCAAACTACCAGCCTTATGCATTAATCTACCAAGGCCATCAACCACCAAAGTAAAACGGAACGGGGAAAGCAGATCTCTCAGGTTTTCCGTTGATCAAAATTGAGAAATTGGCAGAAACAAGGCAGCCCCCAATCCAATCTATCCATCTTCTACCAAATTCCTCCATCACATACTTGAGGAAAGTCCACTTAACATGATCATATGCCTTTTCAAAATCCACTTTAAACACAAGCCCCTCCATTCCTTCCACTCTGTATTCCTCCACTACCTCACTGGCAACTAGGACACCATCCCAAATCTTTCTACCCCGGATAAAAGCACTCTGGCTTGTAGAGATTGTATCTTCCAAAACTGTCCGTAGTCGGTTTGCCAAAACCTTTGCGATCATCTTATAAAGACTAGAGACCAAACTAATTGGTCTAAAATCTTTGACCTTTCTAGAGTCTTCCTTTTTCGGAATGAGACACAAGAAAGTGTGGTTTATATCTTTATTGACCACCCCATTCCTATGAAACTCATCCAATAACCTTTTCAACTCACTCTTCAAAAAATTCCAATATTTTTTGAAAATCCCATCGAAAAGCCATTGGGTCCCGGCGATTTATCCTCATCACAAGAGAACACCGCCACCTTGATTTCTTCCTCCTCAAAGGTCTCTCTAGCCAAGCTGCCTTCTCTAGAAATCCGCCTCCAATCAATCCCCTCGAAAGACCAATGCATGTTTCCCTCTTCTTTATACAATTTCTCGTAAAAAGTAACTATTTCCCTCACCACTTCTACGCTGTCATTTACTACGTCTTTCAATCCCCACTACTGTACTCTTGTTCCTTTTGTTACTAACCAAGCTATGAAAAAGCTTAGTGTTTGCATCCCCCTCTTTCACCCATCTAGTTTTCATCTTTTGTCTCCAAGAAATTGCATCCTTGAAAACCACTCCTTCAAGTGCATTCCGCAACGATCTCCTTTCTACTTTCTCTCTTTCTTCAAGGCCCCGCGTTTCACTCTTACTAGTTACAACATTGTCATTTTCAAATTATTAAAAGTAACATGTTTACTTTTAGAAGTTCCAAAGCTTAAAATTTATGTTCTCTTTTGAAATATCATCATGCATAAGAGCATAAAATATAAAACATATCAAATATGTGATTTTCACTTTTTTGTGTGGAATATAGCATTTTCATTAGAGATAGTCTAAGAGCAAAGACAAATGAAACCACCAAGACAAACAATAATCTGGTTTCAAGCGAAAAAAATCCTTAAGAAAATCCTATTAGAGAAGGGATGAGAATGGAATTTAAGAGTGCTAACAAAAATCTTGCATGAAAATTCAAATCAGTGATCACGAATGATTGAGCAATAAAAGATATTCAAAAGCAACATTGTCTTGTCTCTGAAGGCAAAAACAAAAAAAAAATCAAAAATCAAAAATCAAATGAGATGTTTCCACTATTTAAAGAAAGAAGCTTACTTTTGAAGAAACTGCATAACCTTTGCAAGTAATCCGATTGATGAAACGTTCACTTGTCCATTAGTTTTTTTAATCTGGAACACCTTCAAGCTTGGAACTTTAGAACTGAGATACGCCTCAAGATTCTCATGCTTTAACACTTGTCCTGAAAGTATCTTAAAGAGAAAATTAAGAAGATAGAATAGTGGTGGAAGTGTAGCTTTTATCGTTTGCAGAATATGTCGAGAATAACAAGGAAAGATCACCATTTTAGTAATAGCAGTTTTGGGATATGTAATCTCACAGAATTTTCAGTTCCATACTTGGGGACCTAGTCCTTAAAAAGTTAAATATATATAATAAAAAAATATGATATTAGTGGTAGTAACCAAGAATTATCACTGTGAAAATGATACTATGGGCATGATGAAAATACGGCTCGGAAAAGATAAGCATGAAAATCATAATGATGCTAATGCATGAGGGAAAAGATGAGCGTACTTCCAAAAATTTTCTCAGAGGATTTGATCACAGCTTGAACAATCCTGTCAGAAGGAATCCTTCCCAATTGAAAGCAATCAGCGGCTATTATGATTTGTCCAGGACTACGTTGCACAGTGTATGGAAGTTGCAATAGCACATGTCCAACGCGACGAAGAACAGCATGATCATTGGCAAACCATCCTGAGGAAGAAATTTCAAATCACAAGCATGACAGATGACATATGGGTCAATTTTCAAATATCAATTGAAAATCATAATCAAAGCAGCCCAAAAAACAGAGCAGACTTGGAGGAACCAATCATAGAACATCTAGTACATACACACGTGGTTAGAACTCATCTCATACCAGCTTGCATATTTAGCACACCGAAAAGATATCTGCTCCATTTCATAATATCATATTCTAAAAAATGACAGATATAAAAGCATTTCTAACAAAAATAAACCAATAAAAAATAACATGATACAGAGGTTTTAATTTTCTATCTTGCTGACCCCACTAGTTTTAGCAAAAGAGGAAAACTGATGGCTGACACATCACATCGTAGATAAATGATACACTTAGATGCCCTTTAGGTCTAGTTATGGTACATACCAACAGTGTCAAGACTTGTTGAAACAGGTATAATTCCCACGTGAGAAACAGCTCCATGGGATGGTCGGAATCCCAAAACACCACAAAATCCAGCTGGTACCCTGACGCCGCCAACAGTATCAATACCTGCCCCACTCCATTAGTCAGAGATACAAATTCCAAACTAGAAAATGGCGCTTATATCATAATCAAAGATATGATGAGCAACAAGAGATATAGCTAATGAGAAATTTAAGATTATGTTTAAGATTTAATTAAGTTAATCTTATTATTATGTTATTGTTTATCTTATTATAACATATTATTTCACTACAAAGAAGTTAAGTGATTGTATTTTCACTTAAGACTTTGATGGTTGATATTGGATATTCGGATTCCCTCTCTAGTTCTCCTTCGATATCTCTACTCTAATCTCTAGTCCAATAATTTGCACCATTTTGAGAGAAATAAATCATAGCCATTCAATAAACAGCAATCTGAGCACCACTGTTCAACTATTTTATCATCTCAAAGACATGAATTTAAGATGGGACTAATGAAATCACGTTCCAAACTTTTCATAAGAATCTTAAAACAAGATAGGAAGAGAAACCAAACCCATATGTTTCAAAACCAACAAGTAATAAGCTATCTTTAATATCAACTGAACAGTTTAAAGAATGAGCAGAGCTAATTTTCATAGTGCCATTATTGCTAATATAGGTGCAAGTCCAAATCAAATTAAAATGGTGGAAGCTATGTGAGAAAGTAACTGTTATAAAGCTCTAAAAAGTAGATACATAAAATGGGAAAAAAGCTTACCCAATGAAAAATCAACAAGCTTAGCAGCTACTGCCACTGCAGCTCCACTAGAAGATCCGCCTGGTATTCTTTGAGGCACTGCAGGATTTGTGGGGGTGTCATAATGCTTATTCTCTCCACTTATACTGAAAATATGCATACAGAAAACAACTACCATTACTCAAGATAAATAGCAGCTAAATTTGGAAAAACAGAAAATAGTCAAGGTGAAGAAAAGAAAAATTCAGAATAGACAAGCTCTCTTGTCACCAAAATAACAGACTTTTCCTTTTTCATTGGTTCACCAAACTGCACTTTATTTGACTACTCTAACCAAGAAAAGCGGCAACAAATATATATACACACATATGCATGCATATATATATATATATATATCCAGTCGATTAGAAGGGGGGGGGGGGGGGGGGGGCAATAAAG